CTTGGTTGTCTTGACTTTGGTCTGACTTGTTGATAGTCAGCCAATAAACTTCTTCAATGGCTTGGTTTCCTTCCTCATGAATCAGCTTTACAAGGAAGGGCCTGAAATGAATTTGCAAATGGCTTCAGATTTCAAAGCCTGTATTCTCACCCTTTTTCCTTTAAGTGTAACTGTGAACCTCATCTTCTCATAATCTAGTTCAATCGGGGTACAACTCTTCAACCAATCACCTCCCAGTATCATGTCACAACCCTCATTGTCAAGAACTCTTAGAGGATAAGTAAAACTCTGACCCTGCATCATCCACTGGAAACCCTCAACTATATGAGAACTGATCATTTTCTGCCCATTTGTAATTTTGACCATCAATGGCTTTACAGTTTTTAAGGATAAGCCCAATGATTGATCAGTACTAGCTTGTATAAGCTGAGGGTGCTTCCTGAATCAATGAGTATGTGCAGTTTGTGACCTTTGGAATCACCAAAAACCCTCATCGTAGTCAGGCCATCTTCACCAGATATGGAATTCAAGGACATTTGCACCTCTTCAATCCTTTCTGCCCCTTCTAATTCCTCCTCTGAATATTGTATAGAGTGTAGGTAATTGACCTCCTCTTCTTCTGTCATGGTCATGTAGTTGAGCCTGTGTTTGCACATGTGCCCATAGGTAAATTGCTCATCACAGTTGTAACAAAGTCCTTTCTCTCTCCTAGCCGCCATTTCTGAAGCTGTGATTAATTTGACTGGGTTTTTATAGGGTTGGTTGGCTTTGTTAGGCACTAGATTATAAGGCTCATTCTTCTTGGGAACCTGATAGGGGTTTTGGGAAAATTTAGCTGGGTTTTTTTTTATTTTTTTGGTGAGGGCTTCAATAGTGACAAGCTGTTTCTTCCCCAACTCTATGGTTTGTTTAGGGATCGGGGTTCAAACATGTTAATAAAAGACTGCAGCTCTTCAGATAACCCACTGATAAAACTTGCAATAAAATAATCTTCAGTATAACCATGGTTCATGCATTGCATACAAGCTTTTAATTCTTCAAACCTTTCCACATAATCCAAGTAGGACCCTGTGTGCCTTAATTTGTTGAATTCTCCAATTATTTTTGATTCTTTCAACTCTTCAAATCTAGCTGAAACAACCTCAATAAGCTGTGCCCAAGTTATGTCATCACATCTGTTGTTGAAACTTTGGAACCACTGAGCTGCTTTCCCTTAAAAATCATGGAAGCTAGAATCACTTTTTGATGATCAGTGTTTGTCCTATTTTTGTTACGTTTTTTTGTGTTTATTTTCTTATTATTTTTCCCCCAATTTGAGTCTTTTATTTGGTTAGAGTCTTTTTATTGTTTTATGTGTGTTTTATGTGTGTGTAAGCATTTTGGTGTTTTTCTTTCGTTTTCCGGTATTTTTCCTGTTTTCTTCTTGTTTTTTGCTGTGGAGGTCGAAAACCCCGTGAGGATTGGATTAAGCTCGGAATGCGATCATTTAAAAACAACTAACTAGATAAGTTAGTTAGCGACA